GATGTATTTAATAATTAAATGATACATTTAATTATTATGTATATATTATGTATTTATTTATTTCATTTTGTCACATTCTGTCCTCCACAGGAGAGCACAGCTACCCTGCCATGAAAACATTCCTACTGCATGTATCCACAATCCTGTGCTCTCTGTCACTGCCCAGAGCTCGTGACCATAGGTGAGGGAATGTAGACGACTGGTAAACAGAGCCTCGTCTTGGAGCTCAGCTCCGTCTTTACCACAAAGCACAGGCACAGAGCTTGCAATACTGCAGAAGCTGCACCGATCCATCTGTCGGTCTCGTTCCACATTCTTCCCTCACACAGGACAAAAACCTCAAGATACTTAACTTCCCCCTCTTGAAGCGGCACCTCACTCCCAGTGTAAAAACGTTGCTGCATTTTGGGCATGTCTTCACCTCCTGTACACAAAGTAGAAGGTAACAGCTGAGAATACAAAGTATGTACTGTTTGCATTAGCTTGTGGTGAACGATATGACTTACTTCATATCAAGGTTTAGTGCAGGGCTATTCAACAAAACTGCTCAGGGGGCCACAGTTTCTTAAAGCCAGCAGCTCAGGGGCCGAACATCCCGCAGTTAAAGTCATTATGTAAATAAACCAAGTATTACAATAATCTGTTACCTTTTGTCATTTGTTTATTTTGTTGCATTGAATCATAAATGCAATAAACAAAGCCCAAAGCAAAACCACTGGCTCGCCAGACTAAAGTCACCTGCGGGCCGGAAGTGGCCCATGGGCCGCCAGTTGAAAATTCCTGGTTTAGTGTATTTGATGTGTGTGTGTGCATGTGTTTGTGTCTGTTATGAATTGTCATTTGAAACAGAGAAGATGATCAGCTTGTAGTTTTCTTCATGCTTTCTTTAATTGTGCTATACTCGAGAACCAGTTGTTGATTTTAACTGGTCAAATGTACACAAAAGCAAAGTAACACAACTCCTTAAACTAAACAAAATAACAGGACAAGTGCTGCGACCACAAAGCTATATCAGGATTATATCTTCTGATACAGACTGGTAGAGGTCCTGCTTCATAAATTGATAGAAAAATTTATTCTCATTCTAGAACATATAAAAAGCTGTGCAGAAGATCAAAATATTGTTGGTTGAATCTCAAAAAGCCTTAAAAATACATATCTGCACACATAAAATATGTCAAAACTTAATAAGTCCTTACTGTGTTTAAAAAAAAACTAAAATCTTATTTAAAAAATCATAAACATTATAAATATTTAAATTTAATAAATAGTTCACAGCAGTTTTTTTAACTCTCTATGCAGTTGTTTGGCTTCCTGATTGAGGTTTCAAAAGCGTTATTGCTAAGAGGATAAAACTGTTGCTTTTTAGTCTCTGGTAAGATACTGGATGAAATTTTTGTTGTTTGTTTTTGTTTGTTCATTTTTTTAAGTAATTAGTGATGTCATTACAGCCCCTTTTCCTCAGACACCTTACAAAATGGAGTTGAGTAAATGCTGAATCAGCATCCACACTATTGTTTCCCTGTTTATAGTTTCTTCTGTACATTTGTTTGGACCACTCCATCGTACTTTCAGGTATTTCAGCCATTTAGTTATCAAAAACATCTGACATTATGAATATGGTTTTTGGTTTTCAGACCTCTTTAACTTTTTTAAATTTAACTTTATTCATTTTAGTGCATTGAGAGCTCTTTAGAATCGTTAAAATGTTATATTCTTTAAAATCTTCAGCATGCCTTTTTTATAAGCTTTTAGCAACTTTTTTCTAGTTTAAACTTTTATCCATGGTTTATCTGCGCTTAGCTTTTAGCTAGGGTTTCGCTCATTATTACGGTGGCCCTAAGGTGTAAATGAACACCATTTGAACAACACAAGAAAAACACAACATTAGAAAAAACGGAATTACAAAAAACAGAAATTATATAATTTTTGCATGATTCTGTTTTTTTCAAAAGTAATTCCATTTTTTCTAATGTGATTCCGACCACTTCCGCTATGGCTTAATGTAATTCTGTTTTTTCAAATGTTCATTTACACATCAGTGCCACTGTACGTTATATCTTTTATCAACTGTTTTGCTAATTTTTCCATCTAGCTACTGTTTTTCTGGTTTTAGCTTTTATTTTGCTCATTTGAGCTTTTAGCTTTTGCAGATGATAACTGTTATGGTGTGATTGCTCTGCATTTATAATTCTCTTTTCATTTTCTTTTGTATATATTATTTTTTTTTTTACTCGATTGTTTTGAAATGCAGTGTGGACTAAGAGACAGTGACAAAAAGTACGTTAAATGAAGCTTCGTTTCCCAGCTGCTCTCAGCAGCACCAGGTTCTGAAGCAGCAGAGACACCCTGAAATGATTTATCATCCTCTGTCCCGACGACTGGTCTCCTTTATCATCTCTGCTGTCACTAACTTTCACTCTCTCCTCTCTGCCTCTCTGACGAGGCTCTGACTGGTGTCCTGGGCAGCGTTTCCCAGCCTTCTGTTGTTAATAAAGAGCTGGAGCTCTAGCTGCCGTCTTGGCTGGTTGACTCTGAGGCCACAGGGCACAAAAGGGAACATCAGCGTGCTTTTAAAGCCCGGCCCATTCTCTAAATGCACTCAAAAGCTTGCAAGCAACTCCAAGGTCCCTGCACCTCTGTTCAGCTGTCAAGTGGAAAATACAAACAAGGTTTACTACAAACAGATGAGAAAGAGGAAACGTGGTCTTACAAGTGTGATGGTCTGTTTGTAGATGAATATGTCGGCTAGTGTCTGTCCAGTATTCTAGAGGGAGGATTTTGTCTTTATGTGTTTTGCTTTATTATAATTCCTCCGGCTAATGCATGGCAGGAAATAAACAGCCTGGTTGTCAGTTTTTCTCCATTTTTGCAGAAGAAACCAGTACAGCCACAGTCTGTGTCCTTCAGTCAGAGCGTCCTGGCTCAGGGAGCTAAAGGTGTGCACGTTCACATTGACCAGTTCGCAAAACTGTTTCCTCCAGATTTCAAACTAAGGAGGATGGTAGTTTGACCTGAAACCAGACCCCAGTCACTGCATTCCCACCCCTGCAGCCATTAGCTCACTGTCTCTGAGGAGTTCACATCTTCAAAATAAAGGAGCGACGAGGAAAACTTAATTTATGATCAAAACAATTTAAAAATCTTCAAGACTAAAGGGATTTTTATTTGAATGAAAAGATGTGAAACGTTAAGTAGCTTACCTCTTTTCTTCAGAATAAAATCTTCATTTACGTTTATTTTAGCAAAACAAAAAAGTTTGGTTTTGTTATTGCCGTTTTTAAAGAAAGTTAAGGGGTTTGCTCATGTAAGTGTGAAAGTAAAGGATTTAAGATGCTCCTGTTAAATGTATGGATTGAAAGTAGGCGTGTTAAGCAAGATTTTAAAAAGTATGGCTCTGATATTCATATTTCCTTTTGGTTGAAAAAGTTTTTTTTTAATTGTGGGCTCCAGTTTCAGGAGCTTAAGACTGATCTTTAAATAACAACGGCTGCTGAAAGGTAAAAGGCGGGTTTTCTTGATAATGTTTGTGTTTGTGATCAAATGTCTGCAGTTAGCAAAATATCTCACGAACCGCTTGATGAATATTACTGAATCTGAGGAATAAATAGTTGATCTACCTAGAAATGATTCACATTTGGAAACAATCCAATTCAAGATGGCTGCCACAGCTATTCAGACAAATACATAAATGGCGTAACACCATCTTTTCCCAACGTAGGATGATCTTAGTTGAAAACTTTGGTGTGAAAGGTGAAACGTATTCTTTTAATAGTGTGAACATTTATGAAGCATCCACACTATTGTGATCCATTTTTCTTATGTACGTTTTGCAGCATCTTTCTCGTTCCACAATTTTTTGTGCTATTTCAGCAAATCATAAATCAAAACGTTCAGCTCATTCAGGAGAAGAGTGCTATGACTTTTGGTATTGGCGCAACTTTAGCTTTTTGAAATATTTAGCCTTTTATGCCAGTTTTTATCTCAAAGAAAATGAACTGAGCTCATTTTACCTCCTTCAAATCTTTAGATCTGTTTACAACCTTTTACTTCTCCTTTCACGTTTTGTTCTGGTTCAGCTTCTTTCAGCTTCCTTGTGCAAATTTAAACTTTTTTCATCTTAATTTTAGCTGTTTCTTCAGCTGTTTTGTTATCCTTTCAACTTCTTTCTGCTAACTTCAACATTTTTGTGCTTCTTCTTACTTTTTTCTGCTCGTTTCAGCTAATTATAATCCTTTCATCTTATTTATTCAAGTTTCAGTTTTTTCTTCTATTTCAGCTACGGTTTTTATGCTAATTTCAGCTTTTTCAGCTAATTCCAGATTTTTTTAACTCATTTAAACTTTTTTCTGAATAATTCAACAAAAATGTGCTCTGTCACTTCCTTCTTTTAATTTAAGCTTCTTTCTGCTTTTTTAGCTACTATTCAGCTATTATTTGCAATTTACTTTTTCTAATAATTTCCACTTATTTGTGCTCATTTCTGCTTCTTTAGCCTAATTAGGCAAAATTGTGCTCTCTCCATGTCCTTCGGGTATTGCAAGCTTCCTTCTGCCTTTTTAGCTACTATTTAGCTGTTTTTGCAAATTTATTCCACCCCCACCCCCCCGATAATTTCTACTTATTTGTGCTCATTTCTGCTTCTTTAAGCCTAAATGGGCACAATTGTGCTCTCTACTTCCTTCTGGTAATATAAGCCTCTTTCTGCCTTTTCAGCTATTTTCAGCTATTTTTTGTTGTTGCTAATTTCACCTTTTTTAGCTAATTTACTACTCTGTGTTCATTTCTGCTTATTTAAACCAAATTCAGCAAATATGTGTTCCTTCTGCTTTCTTCTGCTAACATGGGCTTGTTGTTCCATTTCAGCTACATCCATCACGTTTTTAGCTAATTTCAGCTGTTTTTCAGCAAGTTCTTTGGAAATAAGCATTCACACTGCATTTTCCCAGGTAATGCAATTTCTCTAGTTTATAGTTTGAATTTGCCTTTTTCTTTTTCAGAGTAAAGAACAGCAGGATCAAATACTAAACCAGAGCAACGAAGTTTTCCTCTACTGCGCCTTCTTGGACTACAGGTGGGTGTGTGTGTTTGGCTTGTAAAACAAAATGTCTCGTATAAATGTAGGGCTAAGAAGATTTTATCTTAATAATGTGCTTTTTATTATTGTTGTTTGGATCTCTAAGGCTTTAAATCATAAGAAAAGACCAGAGATTTGGAAAATGATCCATTTCCTTTTACTCCTTCAAATTAAAAACATCCTGTGATATGTGTGTTGCAGTTTGACATTGGGTAACATCCCTCTGCAGAAAGAGAGTGCTCTAAAAATGAATCCAAGACACCATTTAGAGAGCATAAATCAGCTTTAAAGAGAGTTGGATTCAAAGGTTTTCACCTCTTGTTCCCTTTGTCTCTGAAGTGCATAAAAAATGTGCATTATTACATGCTCCTGTCAGATTATCATGGTCAAATCAGAAAAAATAAAGATGTGTTTGTGCCTCCTGCAGTGGATGATTGTTGAGCTAATCCTGCCAGAAGTGCTCCTGTAAAAAAAACCCTCTTCTTTTTGGCACATTTATTCCTCGTTTCAATTTTCTGCACTGAATCTATTTGTACAATGTTGTTCTTGACAGTTCAAATGAGGGAGTGTGGTCCAATGAAGGCTGTGTGCGCTCCGAGGGAAACATGTCGTACTCCGTGTGTTTGTGCAACCACCTCACTAACTTCGCCATCCTCATGCAAGTTGTGCCCTTGGAGGTAAGGTTTTTATCTGGACTGCTCTCTTGTTTTATAAGAGGCGTGTCGATACATTTCGTTTAAGGTTTTATGTACCAGGAGCTCTGACGAACAACTCATGACGTTTTACACTGTGCCATTATAATGTGAATGAAAGCATTGCAAAGGTTTGCAAATCTCATAAATCTACATTTTATTCATAATCCAACATAGTAAATATATCAAATGTTGAAACTAAGAAATTGTACCGTTAAAAAAAAACAAGGGCAATTTTGGATTTTATGGCAGCAACAAATCTCAGAAAGTTGTAATAGCATCATGTTGTTGTTGTTTTTTGTGAAATATCCACGCTTTTTTTAACAGCAGTTACAAACATTTAAACTGAGGAGACCAGAGGACTGGTTCAACTCAGTCAGACAACATCAAAATGTGGGTGGGAAAGGTGAAACACCCACATCTGCCTCCACCCTTATTTGCCCCCCTCTAGGCCTTTGAGCAAGGCTTAACCCCCACCATCTGCTTCCCCAGGCTCCCTAGATAGCAGCTCTCTGCTCCACACCGAAGGCTGTGGTAGCTCGGTGGTCTGTGGTTGTGTCAGGAAGCACATCTGGTGTAAAAATAATTGCCAAGTCTTCGTGCAACTTAGTTCACTGTGGAGACCCCTGAAGAAGGGAGCAGCCGAAAGAAGAAGATTTATTGGATGTACCAGCATGTCTTCTGTTTGTTAACATTTTGTATTTATTTAGAGCTTTAAAATCTTATAAAACTGCTACAATCAGTCACAATTATTCTATGACCACAAAGAGTGGTTTAAGCCAAATTAAAGCATCTTCAACATGATTCTACACAATCTTTAGATTGAGGAAAACTGCACAAATATTTTCTGTACATTAACAGTTTCTAACAAGTATTCACTCTGCAAAGTGAGCGCAAATATTTATGGCAACATCTGAGCACTGCATATGTTTCTTTGTGGTCATGATTCATTTTTTATTTTTGACTTTATTATTTTGTGTGGATGCATGTCAGAAATGTAGCTACCTGTTCATATACTCCAAGACCTCAGCAGACCAGGAGGAGCTGTTCTTCATAACCTGCTCCCGCTGGCGCGCGCGTCTCCATCCACGGCTGTGCCTGTGTTGGACAATATCAGGATGTGTTTAATCAACGCAAGGTCTGTTTCCAACAAGACATTTATCCTCAATGACTTTTTTAAAGATGAGGAGTTGGATTTTCTGTTCGTCACGGAATCTTGGATTTCTGATGGTGAGACCAGCGCCTTGGTGGAATTACTACCACTGGACTGTCTGTGTTTCAATGCCCCGCGGCCATCAGGTCGGCGCGGGGGGGGGGGGATTATTAACAGTTTTTAAAGCAAACTTTGCCTGTAAACAGTTGTCCATCCCGGTGTCCCGCGCCAGCTTCGAGCTGAGCGCCTTTGAACTTGGACACTCTCCTCCGGTCCTGTGTGCGCTCATCTACCGCCCCCCCTCGTTCTAAGGACTTCATAAATGAATTCTCTGACTTTTTGGCTGATATCACACAGAGATACACTCACTTTTTGCTTATTGGTGACTTTAATTTGCATGTGTGTTGTCAGGAGAAGCCCTTAGTGAAGGACTTTCTAGATTTATTGGACTCTTTTGGCTTAGCTCAGCAGGTGAACGGTCCCACCCAGGAACACGGTCACACGCTGGACCTCGTTTTAACACGCAATGTCTCTGTTTCTAATTTGAAAATCAGTGACAATGTTTTTTCAGATCACATGCCTGTATTGTTTGACTTCACCCCCCCTTGTCCTACTGCTAAGACGCGCGTTCCTGCACGTACGCGTTCCATTAACCGTTTCACTGCTGCTCGTTTTAATGAAGGTTTTAATTCTGAGAGGATCGAACAGCCCTCGGTGTCTCTTACCACTGAGGAGCTAACCTCTCAGTTCAACTCTGCCTGTTTAGATGTTCTGGACCGTGTTGCTCCCCTTAAGACCAGAAAAACGAAACTTAGATCAGAGCCTTGGCTGAATGACGTCACGCGAGCCGTTAGGCGGCAGTGTCGCAGAGCTGAACGAAGGTGGAGGAAGGACAGGCTCCAGGTGTCTTTTCAAATGTTAAGGGAGAGTTGGCGTCACTATCAGAAAACCGTTAAAGCTGCCAAATGTAAATTCTTCTCTGATTTAATTGTCTCCAACTCCCACAACCCCCGAGTTCTCTTCTCCACCCTGAACTCAGTTCTACACCTCAGTGAGCCTTCACCTCTGGAAGCCTCAACTGAGCTGTGTGAAAACTTCCTCCATTTCTTTTTAGAAAAAGTGGCAAACACCCGGGCACTCATTTCTCCACCAGCTCATGATCTGTCCATCCCATCTCAGTGCGTGGCTGTGTTTGACCACTTTGAGCCCATCTCTCTGTCTTCTCTGAAGCAGGTAATGTGCAGCATGAAACCATCTGGTTCCCCCTTTGATGTGGTCCCCCCTCGACTACTAAAGGAAGTTTTTCCTACCCTGGGTCCTTTTATCCTCGCTATTCTGAATAGCAGTTTATCCTCAGGTGTGGTGCCAAAGACTTTTAAACATGCTGCTGTCCAGCCCCTCCTGAAAAAACCTAACCTTGACCCCTCAGTCATGTCCAACTTCCGGCCTGTCTCCAGACTCCCATTCACCTCTAAACTACTGGAAAAAATTGTGGAGTCTCAGTTGAAACAGTTTTTGGGGGATCACGCTATCCTTGAGTTATTCCAATCTGGCTTCAAATCTCGCCATAGCACTGAAACTGCTCTACTGAAGGTTTTTAACGACATTTTCATTTCCACAGACGCAGGTGATTCTGTGCTGTTGGTCCTATTGGACCTTACATCTGCTTTTGACACCATCGACCACAACATCCTCATTTCTAGACTGGAGCAGTGGGTGGGCATCACAGGGTCAGCCCTTAAATGGTTTGGGTCCTACCTATCTGACAGAACCTTCTGTGTCAATATCAAAGTTTCTAGTTCGGCATCGACAGCGCTCCAGTGGGGGGTACCGCAGGGGTCCATCCTCGGTCCCCTTCTCTTTTCTTTATACCTGCTTCCACTAGGTGCTATCTTCCGCAAACACGACATACCCTTTCATTTCTACGCCGATGATTGCCAAATTTACTTCCCCCTGAGGCACAGAGGCACACGCTCTATTCAGCCTCTTCTTGACTGCCTGGCTGACATCCGGGACTGGATGGCTTTAAACTTCTTAAGCTTCAATGAGAAGAAGTCTGAAGTCATGCTGTTCCATCCCAGTGGCTCACTCATGAACCATGACATTGACCTTTTCTCTCTAGCCCCGCTAGAAAAACAAAAGGTCACTAATCTGGGGGTGATAATGGACCCGTCCTTAAAACTCAACAGTCACGTAAACATGATGGTCAAATCCTGTTTTTTTCAGCTGAGACGGCTGTCTAAGCTGAAACCTATACTCTCCAAAAAGAACCTTGAGACAGTGATCCACGCCTTCATAACATCTAGGCTTGATTACTGCAATTCACTTCTGTTTGGAATCAGTCAGTCCTCCATTGCTCGTCTACAACTGGTCCAAAATGCTGCAGCCCGATTTTTAACTGGTACAGGCTATAGAGAGCACATCACGCCAGTTTTGGCCTCCCTGCACTGGCTACCCATTCACCTTCGGATCCATTTCAAAATTCTCATGTATGTTTTTAAATCACTGAACAGTTCCGCCCCATCCTATCTCACTGATCTTCTGCAGCCATATGTCCCACCGTGCTCTCTGAGGTCAGCAGACCAGATGCTTCTCTCAGTCCCAGAAACCCGTCGTAAGCTCAGGGGTGACAGGGCTTTCTCTGTTGCAGGTCCACGACTGTGGAATGAGTTGCCACTGAGTGTCCGGCAGGCTCCCACACTCTCAGTCTTTAAGTCTCGCTTGAAGACCCACTTCTATTCGCTTGCCTTTAACACGGTGTGATTTGTTTTGGTCCGGTCTGTTCTCTACTCTGTTGGCCATTTTAGTTAGCTTCTGTTGCTATTTGTATCTGTATTTCTATTTTATGTTTTCCTGTCTGCTGTGCATGTTTGTGTTCTTTTGTACAGCACTTTGGTTGGCCTTGTTGCTGTTTTAAGTGCTATATAAATAAATTGGTATGGTATGGTATGGTATGGTATGGTATGGTATATAGTTTATATGTTTTTGTATTTTTGTAAAAAAGAAAATCTAGGTTTTGTTGCGTCACATGACTCCATGATCAGGAAGTGAATCAAGCCCCTTTAAGAGACAAAACATTAGTGTAGGGGCATGTGGAGAAAGACGTTCAGTCAGTGCTCTTAGTTTAGTTTCTGCATGTTGTCTACCTGGCAAACACGGTAATGAATGTTTAATTTTAATTAGCAACAGTACATATGACTCTTAATGGATGCCTCAAATAATGCTCTTAAAAACAGTCAAAAACATTGTAAACAGTCAGAAACATAGTTAACAGTCAGAAACATCAGAAACAGTCAGAAACATTATAAACAGTCAGAAACACTGTAAACAGTCAGAAAATAGTAAACAGTTAGAAACATCGTAATCAGTCAGAAACATCATAAACACTCAGAAACATTGTAAACAGTCAGAAACATCATAAACAGTTGGAAATATCGTAAACAGTCAGAAACCTTGTAAACAGTCAAAAACAGTTAACAATCAGAAACATCATAAACAGTCAGAAACATTGTAAACAATCAGAAACATCATACAGTCAGAAACATTGTAAACAGACAGAAACATTGCAAACAGTCAGAAACAGTTAACAATCAGAAACATCTTAAACAGTCAGAAACATTGTAAACAATCAGAAGCATCAAACAGTCTGAAACATTGTAAACAGACAGAAACATCATAAACTGTCAGAAACATTGCAAACAGTCCGAAATATTGTAAACATTTAAACATCGTAAACAGTCAGAAACATCACAAACAGTCAGAAACATTGTAAACTGTCAGAAAGAGTTAACAATCAGAAACATCATAAACAGTCAGAAACATTGTAAACTATCTGAAATATCGTAAACAATCAGAAACATCAGAAACAGTCAGAAACATTGTAAACTATCTGAAATATCGTAAATAATCAGAATCATCATACAGTCAGAAACATTGTAAACAGTCAGAAACATAGTTAACAGCCAGAAA